CTGGGACAGAGAAAGGCAGAGTGATATACTCAAGGGGAAATTGGGGTCTATGTTTAATAAAGAAGTTTCCCTCCGTAAATGAATTTGGTAGACAGCTCTTTGCTACTACAAAGCATTAGGGAAAAGAATACAGGTGGAACTCAATACATTTAAACAATACTGGATCAAATACATCACAGCAGGCAGGAGAGAATTCCAGGACAAGAAATGGTGAGCATCAAGCTTAGAAAAGGAAACTCTATCTCTTCACAGGGGTCAAAGGCCAGGGCCCCTCTCTGGGGTGATTTTATTCCCGTTCAGTGTGCGGCAGGGTTCCCAGAGACTCTTGGGGTGCTCTAGGGTCAAAGTGGCGTGGGCTGGTGGAGCTTCACATATCAAGCTTTTCCATCTTGGGAAACTTACACTGGAATCCCTTCTGACTTTGATAGAAATAAAGCGGGAGAGGAGTTGGCTCTGGAGCGGAGACCCGCCAGCAACTTCCTGATGTTCGTACAGGAGAGTGAGCTTTGCTGGGACTCACCATGCTTGTAAATCTAAGCATCTCCACTAGAACTTGTGTAGATTCGAATTCATGCCCATCTCCATCTGTGCTGATGGGTATGGGTTTGTGGAGGTGAGATCTTGAACTTGGTAACACCACAGTGTTCTTTCACACTCACACTTTTCTTTCCATGGATTCGTATGCAGAGTTTCTTATTCCAGAGCCATAGTTTAAAGATATAGGTAAAGCTCTTCAGGGGTTCCTGTGAAACTAAATGTGGCCAGGTATGTGGTCAGTGGGGTCTTCCTGAACCAAGGCAATAGGGGAAGCTGAGCAGATCAGCTGGGGAAGTGCATGGGCTGAAACTAGATTGCTCTCATCCGGCCATGCCACATGCTAGGGTTGCTCCTTGCTGTTTGCCCCGCCTGGGAGGTACAACTTAATAAGTGCAGGGTACACACAGGTGGAAGCCTGGCTGAGGAGCCCCTGTTGTCAAAGAAAAAGAAGCCACCTCCTTCAAGATGAAATGGTAGATCTAAATCATCTCAATCCCATGTTGGTTTATGAAATTAACTGGGGAATTATTTACTCATACCTAAAGGCTTTGAGGGCCAGGCATTGGACTAGGTGCTTGGGAGAGCAGGGTCCTCACTATGGCAGGCAGCAGAGGGCAGGAGGGCAGTCACATGAACAGAAGTGACACTGTTGGATCAGTGTTGTAAGAGTTTACAGAAGATGCTCGCAGAGCCCAGTGGGACTGGGGCCTCATCAGTAGTTAGGGTGGAGAAATGTAGGTCTCCTTGAAAGCCCTGTTCTTGTCTTCAAATTAAGAATTATGTGAATGGTATATCCACCTGCGTCCAGTAATCCCATCACCTCTTGTAGTTCTTTATTCCTTTCTCTTTGGGTGCTTTCCCCTTACCCCAGGGACCAGTACCCCAAGCAATAAACTTCTACTACCTAATCAAGCCCCAAAGGGTATCTTTTGTGGGTCCTAATCCTGCAAATGCCACCTAAGAGAAAGATGAATTTCTTGGACAGATGAGTTTACCTTACTAATGGGTGACTGTTCTATCCACATGTCTCTGGGGTAACATGCCTTTTAATGGGGCCCTCAAATCCTTCACCTGAGTCACTAGTGCGGGGGTGATGTGAGCTGGCAAGGGAAGTGTTTGGGAGCCACTGGTTCTCTTGGATCATCTGAAATCATAGCACATGTGGAGAAGCTTCCTTAAGCAAATGAAGTTAAAAAAGTTTATCCCAAGCCGGGAAAAAAGTTCTGATTTAAAACTACAATGCTCATACATTTATTAGCATTTTTTTTGATTCCTCAAAAAAATAACTGAGAAGGCCTTTGATGTATCAAATATTAAGGCTTTGATGTATCAAATGCTCTGTGCCTGGAGGGATTAGTTCTGATTAGAAAATTCGGGTCTCTGGTCCCTCATCAGGCCTTTAAATGACTTGTGTATCCTTTCAATAACAGGGAAATGGCAGGGCTGGTGTCACTTGGGGAAGGTGCCGCGTTTGTAGTGGCATGCTGTGTGTCTCTCCACGGAAGACTGTTCAGTTTCCACCCCGCCGAGGGGACTTGGGGGCCAGGAGGAGGTCTCACTGATCTTGGGGATGTCAGTCACAGTAGTAGGTCCAGGAATGTTCATGCATTCCTTAAGGATGGGCACTTCTCTCTGGGTCCCTGGTGCCCATGGGCCTGCTTTTTTTTTTTTTTTTTTAAATCTTCCAAGGAGGACAACCTGGTGGCCTTTAGTATCTAATGGTTCTCCTTTTCCATGTGGCTTTCACCTGGGCTCTTTGGGCATGAAACAGTAAAACTAAAGTAGGACTTTTGCAAAGTAAACTTAGTAAGACACGGGCTGGGCCCTTCTCCCAGCAGAGTGGGATACATGAGGGCGTATGGAGAACAATGGAAGCTGGGCGGGGCGGTGGGGTAGGACCTGACACCCTGACACCGAGTGGTCTTGGTTCATCTTTGATCTGAAACATCTCTGTTAAATATTTTTCAGTGGTCATGCCCTTATTCACTCTGGAGAGAAAAGAAGTGTCCTTATAGAGTACAGAAGGTTGCCCAGTGTTGTGGGGAAGAATGATCTGAGATGCCGCTGACTGTGGGTCTCTGCGCTCTCCCTGCCTCCCCTCCCCATGGAAACCGCTCTGGTCCTGCTCTCCTGCAGAGCAGAGCCTCTGCCCATGGAGAAAGCAAAAACCAGAGAAACTCCAGCTTTGGGCCACTTCCTGTGAAGCTGCTGCCCAAGAGCCTCCTGACAGCTTAGCTGAAGTACAAGGTCTTTTGCTAGCTGGGGGCAGTGACTCTGACTTTACTCTCCCAGGGCTGTTTACTGTTTTGCAAGTGAACAAGTAAGCTGTGCTCGGGTTTGTGGCTCAGATGAACCAAGAGTGACGCATCTGTTCTCCCTAAATGATCTCCTGACCCGCAGGGCGGAAGGCGATTTTCCCTGTAGCTGAATTCAGGGTAGGTCTGTGCTACTGATGCCCGAGGAAACAGCTGTGTTGGGTGGAATTAAAATACCCCTCACACCTAAGCGTCAACCTGGAAGCAGCTCCCTTCACTTCTGCGCCCATCCCACTGGGAAGACCTGCATGTGGGCCCCGAAGGCAAGGGTCTAGGACTCGTGATCCCGAGTATTGAGGAGGGGCACCTGATGTGGGTGAGCCCTCAGGAGCTCCTCGTGTTTTACAAGCATTCTGGGGGCACCTGCCCTGGACTATGTATTGTTTGAGTCACCAACATTATTAAGAAAGTCCTTGCGCTGGAGGATGCATGAACTGCAGGGAATAAGGGGCGTGAAAGAAGGATTAGGCTCGTAGGAAAAGTTACAACAGGACAGACACTTTAATGAAAGGGTTGGTATATTCTCAACTTCAGATATGGGAACAATACCGACTGGGGAAATTGAGAAAGAATAACAAAGTAGGTGACAGTTGAGCTGGGTCTTAGAGAATGATATGTATTCCTTAAGAACACACTGTAGTCTCATTTGAAACAATGCCTTTGCAAATGTTGCAGTTAGTTTTAGCACCCTAAGTTTTGCAACAAAGGCCCAGCATTCTCTGCTGCTTTAGTGCAAGAAATGTCTTTCAGTTTCCAAAGAATCAAGTAACGTACGAGCACAGTTGTTTCATCGGTAAGAGGTGAAGTTGTGTGACCCACAAGGAGCTAACCAGAGACCAGGTGCAGAGAGAAGTGTCCCAGGATGGCCACGTTCTTAACATAGAATCAGAACAGGAGGGTTTACAGGAATTTTGTATTTCCTTTGCACGCGGAGGCCATCTGGGAGATGTGGTTTAGGTGCTGTAACGTGGGATTTGAGATATTCCAGAAACTTTTAGCCACAGAGGGAAAGAATGTTAACATCCCCGAAAAATCTATGATTTGCTTTCACTGAACAAAGACAGCCCGTGGCTGGTGTAACGTTAGTTTACTGAAGACTTTCCGCCGCAGGACAGCTAACGGTTGCTGCTGCTTCGTTTTCCCTTCCTCCGGGTACGAGGAAAATTCCTCTCTCCTGCAGTTTTAGCGAGAACCTCCACCCAGATTCAGAAAGGATGGATGTCAGTAGTTATAACAAGAACTTGCTGTGTGCGAAGTGTAATCCTAGGCGTTTATCGCCCCATAACCATACCGCCCTCACCGTCGGAACCACCCGCACCTCTAACTTACAAGCTAAATTCTAAGCAGCTGAGGACACACACGCTATGCAGCGGCAGAGCTAGAGCCTGAGCCCTGCGAGTCCGACCTCCAAGCCTCAATTCTTGGTCACTCCACTGTTCTCTCATAAACTGAGTCACCCTATAGAATGGGTGAATGACCCGGCTTCCTCCCTCAAGAAGTGGAAGTCTGGTAGGCTGGTTTTCAAATGACTACGCCGCAAGATTTTCTCCCTCAGGTAACTGAGCCTACATAAAGCTTGTCTTTGTTAAAAACGACCTGTGGTATTTATCCATTTTAAGCATCTCCCTTGCTCTACTGAAGGCGAACAGGTAGCTGACTTGAGCCCCCCCCCCCCCCGTCCCCCATAGCAGCGTGGCTAGGAAGTCTGGACCAGGTTCGTTTTCCTCAACAAGTCAAACGCTGAGGCGCCAAGGTTTACAGCAGAGAAAGAAGAGAGAGTAGAACCTCAGCCCCACCTCCGGGAGGGCTGGGCACCCAGGTATTTATGGGAGGAGCTGGGAGGCGGAGGATGGGGATGCGTGCGGCGCCTCGGGAAACGTGACTGGAAGCACGTACGTCATGGTGGTTCTGCGCAGGCGCAGCTCAGCCACGGGCCTTTGCACGTGCACTGAGGCAGCCCGCTCAAGGAGGGCGTTTTCAGCCCTCTGACGTCAAGAGGTCGCTCAGCGGACACTCGCGCATGCCCAGATGGAGGGTCGCTAGTGGTCCTAACCAGTCTTATCCAGCGCAGCTCCGGCTAGACCCAGCGGATGCGAGTTCCTGGAAAGCGACTCCAGCAAACATCTCACGGTTTCGGCTCCAGCTCCGGGCGCTTGGAGCTGGTACCAGGCTTTTGCGGCGACAAATAAAACGACCCGGATTAGTGAAGACAGGTAGCGTGTGTTTGACTAATAATGACCCCCGGTTTCACCTCCACCAGTCACGGGAAAGGGGGCACACGGGAGGAAAGCTAATGGCCTTAGGTGAGCCTGTCAGGCCGCTCCACGGCGTCTTCGTCACCAGTCTCCTGGCAGCCAGTTACCTGCGACCGGCTTAGAATACCTGCTCCTGCGGACGCGAAGGGGAGGTGGCCCCCCTCTTCTGCCTCGCTCGTGCTTAAGCTTTTTAAAAGACCCCCTCGACCAGCTCCTGGTAGAAACGTCAGATGCGTTAGGATGGAGGCGTTTTTCCCTAAGAGCTTTCTCGTGCACCTTTTCCCATCGACTTTGTAAAACCTGCTGGCCTTTTGGGTGGAGCTGCCTGCTGCAACCTAGAGGCCCACTCAGGCCTCAGACGCTCACATTTGCATATGCCGCAGGACCTATTTCTGGGCGCCGGGGACTGCTGCCCACACACACAATCTGCCTCCTCTCCCGGCAGGGCCTCCGCTTTCCCACAACTCCAGCTTCTCCGGAGAGACGGGGGTGCGCAAAGCTGCCGTCAGAAGTTGCCGAGGCCCCAGTGAGAAGTCCCTGAGTGGTGACGTTGGGGCAGACGAGTCATGGAGGAAAGGTGAGAGGGTCTAAGGCGAGACTGGAGAAATGGCATTCCTAAGGATTCAATCAGGTGAAGGGGGGCAGCCTCTGCTTTCCCACAGGGTTTAAGGTGAGGGCATGTTAATCAGAAAGGATTTATTATAACGAAATCATTTTATGTGACACTCTACTAACTGGAACAAGGCTAGCTTTGGCTTTTCAGTGTATAATAACCGAGGGGCTCTTTGAACAACTGGCTCTTCAGTTGATCGGTCATGTTGGCTCTGTGGTTGGAATAAAGGAATAAATACAGCCCTGCACCCCATTTTGATAACCATTTCTTAAATCACTTGTTTACCCCAAATTGTGGAGGGAGCGGCTCGTAAACTAGCATAGACATCACAGGCTTCAGATCCCACCTGGTCTTCGCCCTCTCCACAGCAGCCTCGTGGAGAAGAGTGCTAATTACGCTGATTGAATCCTCGTGGCTGAGCTCCTTTTCAGCTGCTTTGATTTATTCTTTTGAGTATAAACGAATTTTCAATGAGAATTACAGAATAGGCAATACCAGAGGAAAAATGCCAGTAGAATCTATGATTCCAGATGCTGTTCCAAATAGCTATTGAATTCCTTAAATTATTAGCTCTCTAAAACCCTGTCCCACCCTCCCTACCCCACAGGCTTACACAGTTGAGATTCGGGAGGAAGTCCGGGGTCACAGAAAAGCTCCTGGCTCCCACGGGAAGGCCTCAGGACCCTGACCCTTGTCTCAGCAGCAGCAGGTGTTAAGCAGTAAGGCCCCATGCTGATTTCTTACATGACTAGAGCGTAATAAAGACTTTTGAGTGAAGCCATCATATCCTAAAGCCGTGGCCTCTTAACAGTGGGGTCACCGACTTATCCGCGTTTGTCTGGGATTCAACTGATCTAGAAACAAAGTTCAACATCCAGGAAACCCCTCAGTCTGGGACGAACTGGGATGATTGGTCCCCCTACTTAAAAGGCACTTAAAATGCAGCTTCCCTGGGATGCGATATGATTTTCTGTTTGTTTTGTGGTCTGGAGCTGCTGTACCGTCAATATTCTATGGGCAGTTCACTCCATTATCAGAACGGCACCAGGGAACCCATTTAGCTGAGGAGAGGGATGGGGGTATGGTGGGAGGGGGTAGAATAAGGGACAAGAGAGCAAGAAGATTAATGTCATGTTGTAGTCGGACCACAGGGCTTCTTTTACACTATAAATGTTGCATGAAGTGGTGATGTAACCTTTACCACAGTGTGGCATGGGATTTGGCTGTTTTTATGGCTCGTGATTAAAGTAGGAAACAAGTCTCTGATTAGATTATTCTTCACCCCCACCTCTGTCCTTCACATTTCCAAGAACACTGTTTTATTCATGAACTCAATCTAACTCAAACCCAAACACCAGAATACGTAGATCACAACCTAGAAAATGCATCATCAGAAATGTCTTGTTTATTCTTTGCCCAAAAGTATTTATAATCTAAGATATTGACTTTGATAAGCACTGCAAGGGGGGAAAAAAAGTTGAGTCTTGTAAATTCTGCCTCCTTTTAGGAAGCATTATCTATATGTGGTAAAATCTATTGACGTTCTGTTGAGGTTACATAAGAAAATAGATGGTTTTTAAATTATTTTAGTTTGTTGCAATTGCAGATAGCTAAATACAGTTGGTGAAAAAGCAAACTGAGCTCTAAGGAACAGAATTCAATCTATTGCTTTTCTCCTTCTGGTCTATCCTAGTGATTTAATTATTTGTGAAACTTTTAAACTCAGTTGACTCCCTTGGAATTTATCCAGGTCGGAGGATGTTTGGTGTTACACTGGTTATATCTTTTGGTCCTGGTCCAGCAATTAGCAGCTTGGCTTTATTTAGTCATAAAGATCTAAGTATGTTGGAAATGCCAGTGTGCAGTGCTTAACGTCTTTAAATTACATCTATTTTTAAAATTCAGAACATTGAGTCTGCTTATTACGTGGAAGTGCAGTAGAGCTACCAGGTTCAAATTGAGAGAAATTTTTGTCTCTTTTAGCCCTTTCTATAGACTTACTGGGTGGGAATTAAAAAATTAAACTGTGATGACTAGGGCTCAACATTAAAATGATCCAGTATAAATAATGTCAGAAGGTGAGCTTTCATAAATCAGAAAGTCTAATGATAAAAATAGGTAAAGGTCTAAAATACTGCTCTGGTTATTGGATGCCATCTCCTGGCTATAATTACTGTTTGATACAACTGGCCATCCTTTCAACGCAGAGGGAGAATCATCAAGACCTATTGTTAAAATTCAGATAGCATAATATGGCATAGTTATTTTGTGCAAATCAGTTGCTGAATAAGTATAGCTACATTTTGAAATTCAGGTTGCATTTTGGAAAAAAAAAGCTGCTATGAACTTAAAGTGTTGTGTAGCTTTAACTTGTTTTTGTAAATTTTGGTCTCCCAGGATTATGTTGTGGGACCATCTAACGGCTATTGATTTTTTTCCTAGCTTATTTTCCAGCTGTATTATCATGTCTAGGCATCAGGATACAGTTCTTTCGTCAGTGAACCTTAAGACATTTTGCAAAGTGGTCAGATCCCAGCTGTTCTCCATGTAGAACTTGGCCGGTGCCAACTAAAATGGCTCAAGTGCTGCTGATGAGCACACAGGGTCTCTTGGCATTTCTTTGTTTAGAACAGTTAGCACTGGAAAGTTAAGCACAGAAGCTAATCTCTTGCACTTCACGTCTGTAAATTCTAGCGTTTGAGTGGGGATGTGGGAATAGTAAGGGACAGTGTGAACAAAGGTGTTTACACCTCCTGTGTTTCTTAAATTAGAGGGAAACACATGTAGCCAGTTGTGCTGATGTTCTAGAACAGGCCTTGCTAAACTACAGCCTGCTGACCAGATCCAACCTGCCCCCTGACTTTGTAAATAAAGTTTTATTGGAACACAGCTGTGCCCATTTGTTTACACATCTTTAATGGTCATGGGGATGGAGGGACGGTGAGTCATTGCAACACACACCCTATGGCCGGAAAAGCCTAAAATATTTACTCTCTGGGCCTTTACAACAATTTTGCTGATGCCTGCTCTAGGAACTTAGACTTTATTTCGTTAAGACTCTCTTTTATTTAAAACTCACAATCAGCAGCTTGGCTTTAGTCGGCACATGCCTTGCCCCAGCCTGGCGTAAGAGGATGTGGGCTCCCCTGCTGCAGCTCGTACCAGCCCCTCCGGCTGGACGGGCCCAGGCTGCACCACTCCCCGCAGTGCCCAATGACAGCATGGGGTGCCAGCAGGGCCCTGAACAGAGCAATGGGGACTCTGCCTTCAACTTTCGGCCTCCAGAGGCTAAAATACATGTAGGAGGGTTGGTAGTAAAATTGACCTTCATGTTTATTGAGCTAGAGAGGCTGTTTTCTTAAGGTTTGGTGAACTGTCAGCAGCTTTGCGTTGTGCAGACTGTCATGACTTAAAACAACTTCATGTGGATAAGAGAAGCCAAAATCAAAGAAGCCAGAAATACCTGAAAAGCAAAAGCCCATTCGTCTTTAAAAAGAAAAAGAAAATAGGGCAAATAGGCCAATTGACAAGAATTTGGGGAATATTTCCATATGCTGTTCTAAGGTGGAAAAGAGATTCAGGAAACCCCTAAAAGGTGCTTTTACAAATGCCCTGTTTACTGATAGATTTCAGACCCCTCTTTCTGTTAAAACTCCCTACATGGTGATAACAATGGAAAAAATAGAATTTATATAATTTCTTTGGCGGTCCTTTTGGAGGCATCATCATTTATCCTCGAATGTGTTCTGTGATAAGGAAGGGAGGGGTATCATCTGTCTCCAATTTCAATGAAAAGAAAAAGAAGATTGCGAACAGGCTGTGTCAGAGCCAAGCTGGGTTTGGATGACAGCAACTATTCACTGGCTGTGTGATGTTGGGGTAAATTATCTCTTGGGGTAAGAAGCTCTCTAAGCCTCAGATTCTCTCAGCTGCATCCATAATAAAGACACCCAGCTCTTGGGTTTGTTGTAAGGATGTATGAGATAATGTCTGCAGAACAAGAAGCACGGTGACTGTCCTCGGATGTGTGCACAGTGAAATGTGCGTGGAGGTGATGAGTCACCAGGCATGCAGAAGGGTTAGCCCCGCAGGCGTGGGCCTGCTGTCCTCAGAAAAGCCTGCTTGCAAGCGTGGCCCTTGGCTGGTATCTGGGAACTTGACTTGTAAACAGCCCCTGACAATGATAGAAAACTTCCTAACTGACAAGGTGGCTCCCTGTGCCTCCACTGTGGGTGCAGACAACGTGGTGTTCTGTGGAACACCTGTTTTCCCTCCAGGAGTCTAGAATGTTGGTAGATTTTAAAAGCAGAGGGTGCCTACGTGACCAGCTCCTGTGAAAATCCTTAGACCTTCCTAATGAGGACCTTGCGTTCTCTGATCTCCCTGGGCAGAAGTGTCATACACTTGTTGCTGCAGAAAGGTGCCCCGTCACCAGAAGGAGAGCAGTCAGGGGACCCTGCACAGGAATCCCTTCAGATTCTCCTTTTCTTTTATGATCTGGCTGGATATCTTTATTACCGCCTAAGTCATCTTAGCCATGAGTCAAACTATGTGCTGAGTCCCCTGAGTCCTCCTAGTGCATCTCCACCATGGGGGTGGTCTCAGGGGCCTCCGACACACTGTGTATAGTTCCTCTGTATTTTAATGCTAATTTGATTAGGCTAGCCCAGTAGTTGCCAGCCTTGGCTATAATTAGAATTAGCCGGAAAATTACATACACATCCCTCTCTCCACCCCAACTGCACACACCCTGCCTCACAACAGTCAAATCAGGATTTCTGTTGTGTAAGACCCAGGTATCAGTATCTTTGGTTCTGACATTTCCATTTGGTTTCTTTTTTTTTTAATTAGTTTCTTTGTCTTTGTGGAAATTCTCCCTCTCTTCAGGCATGTTGTCAACCTTTCCCACTAAATCTCTTGGCATCTTTTTTCTTTTAAATTTTATTTTGAAATCATTTTAGATT